CTTGACAGGTCGATATCTCAATCACAAGATTCAGTGAGCGTGTCAAGCACCCGAAGAAGCCACACATGAAGGCTCCACAGCTCTGGGCTCAGGTGCCATATCGAGCCGTTCGCTTGAGACAGCAGGTCCCTCCTGAGGGGGATTTGCCAAGGTGGAGCCACCAGCATCTCCCTGAGGTCCGGAAACCAAGGTTGATTCGGCCAGTTCGGATGGATCACTGAAACAGGATCACTGATGCTCTCTCCTCCCTGATTTTGCGTAGCACCAGAAGCAAAATCTTCACCGGAGGGAACGCATTAAGTCTGGCTCTCGGTCAGCGCGATGTCAGACTGTCTCCCATCAGCGGGGAGTGAGACAGCAAAAAGAACAGCAGTCAGTGTGTGTTCAAGCTTGTCTCGAATAGATCCACCTCTGCCCTCCAGAAGTGGTCCCAAATCATCTGAACCAGACTAGGAGGCAGCCTCCACTCCCCGTGAAGCATTCCGTTCCTCGAAAGCATGTCCGCTCCGTGGTTTAGGAGACCGGGGATATGCGCCGCTCTGATGGAGAGTAGATGACGATCCGCCCATAATAGAAGAATTGGAACAGTTTGCTTGAAAAGGGCTCTGGAGTGCACGCCGCCTCTGCGATTTATGTACGAAACCACAGACATATTGTTGTTGTGAATCAGCACATGTCGCTGTTCCAGCTGTGCCAGAAAAGGCACTAGGGCTAAGGACACTGCTTTCAGTTCCAAGCGGTTTATGCGCCACCTGCTCTGAGACTCTAACCACAGGTCTGAAGTCGGTATGCTCTCGCATACTGCTCCCTAGCCTGAGGTCGACGTATCTGTTGTAACCACAGTGTGTGCTGTCACCAGTCCCAGGAGAACCCCTCGGCTGAACATTTCTGGGTCGTGCCACGGTCTCAGAGCGCTGACGCAGCTGTGTGTGACCATGATGTGCATATGACCTGTGGTCCATGCTCTCCATGGAACTTAAGTTTTCAGCCACAACTGTAGTGGCCGCATGTGCAGAAGACCCAGGTGGCAAACTGATGAGGCCGACACCATAAGTCCCAGAAGCCTCTGAAATTCCCTCAAGGGAACAGAGGGAGTGCAGAGCTGATGAAATGGTCGTTATGCACTCTATAGAGTCGAAACACACACCCAGATATGCTATAGATCATGCTATCATGCTCAGCACCCAGCGCGAAATGCCTGGTATAGCTATCCACGCATCTAGGAACTGACATAGCGGCCGAGTCTCTCTGGGCACTATCGCTGGCAGCGATGTTCGTAGACTGGCGTCCTGCCGCGGTGAAACTAAACGCACTGGTGGGGAAACAGTTTGTGGTCGGACAACACTGGGAGGTCTGCTGTCACGGTGGGGGCTCCTCCTCTGTCCGTGACACCTTTTCCCGGGTACCGTCCACTGCTTGCGGCAAACATCCGGCTCATGTCGAGGAGCCACGGAGGACGTGGCAGGCTGCTTAGCCGTTCTCTGAGCGGAGTGGGTTGCAGAAGAGGAGTGTGATCTTAACAGTGGATGGAACGCGCGCAGGGGCATCAGGTGACTCATCACCTTCATGCGCTTTTGCGCCTCAGAGAAGTGCTCGATAACCGACTCCACAGTGTCACCATAGAGACAAGAGGGAGTGATCGGAGTGTTGAGGAGCGCCTTACGGTCAGATTCCTTCAGGTCAGATAGGGTCAGCCATAGGTGCCTGTGAAGGACTAACATGAACTCCATGGAACGACCGATGGCTTGAGCAGAGCGCTTTGTTGCCATCAGCGTGAAGTCGAGCATACTCCTGGCAGGTTCCTCTGGAGCATCCCAGTTGAGGTCGAGTTCCTTAACAGCTTTCGCGAGGACCCTGGCGAAATCCTCCTGGAGGTCTGGGGGGCCCTCAGTGTTGGGGCGAACCCTTTTCTGACGCAGAGACATGAAGTCTTTGTCTTCCTCAGGGTTTCCAAATTAAACGACGTCCGCAA